CTCCGCCGCGCGCAGCTCGCGCCGCGCGAGCTGGGCGTCGCGCGCGTCGGCCTTGCACGCCTGCTGCCGCGCGATGATGTCCGCGCAGAGCGCGTAGCCCGGCGGCGGGGCCGCGGACCGCGGCGTCGCGCCGTCGTCGCTCTCCGGCCGCGGCGCGTCGTTCATGGCCCGCGCCTGGGCGAGCAGCCAGTCGGGGTCGAGGGACGCGATGGCCGCCTCCGTGCCGTTCATGCGGAACTTGGGGCGGTAGCTCTTGCGCTGCTTCCGCATCTCCTCGACGTCGCCGACCCAGCGCCAGTAGCCCGACGTCGCCGCCACGCTCTCGGCCTTGTTGAACGACATGGCGCGGCGTCGACGCGCGCTGCGGAGGCAGCCCAGCGCCCGTATGCAACCGTTTGACTGCACGATTGCCCTGGGAATCTGAAAGTTAGAGTGGTGCATTGTCCAAGGTGGACGAGAGCTGCCCCGATGGTGGCGTGACTGATGGCGCTCTGGCGCGTCGCCCTCGCCTGGGCCGTCGGCGCGGGCGCGCGGCGCCTGCAGGAGGAGGACCTGCGCAAGCACTTCGAGCAGCACGTCTGGCGCTGGAACGCGGGCGGCGGCCGGGCCTGGGACGACCGCTTCCCGAGCGACGGGGCCATGCGCGACGAGTGGAGCCGGCTCGCGGGCGAACCCTACCCGGGCCTCGACCGCGGCGGGTCCGACCTGCGCTGCAGGGAGCGGGGCCCGCTGCGGACGGGCCAGGTGCGGAAGAAGTACGTCGAGGAGGTCGTCCGCGCCTTGGTCCGCGAGCGCGACCTGCCGCTCGCGCGGTCGCTGGAGATCGGGCCCTGCAACAACCCCATCGACCTCCCGACGAGCCTCGTGCGCGTCGCCGACACGCTCGACAGCGAGGCCGGCGCCGCCTACTGCGCCGCGCGCGCCGTCGCCGCGCGGGGCGGCGACGCGAATATGTACCGGCCGACGTACGTCGACGACGGCCAGTTCCTCGCCAAGGTGCCGAGCGGCTACTACGACCTCTTGTACACGAGCCACGTCATGGAGCACATGCCGAACCCCATGCTCGCGCTGCGCCACTGGCTGCGGGTGCTGCGACCCGGCGGCCTCTGCGTGACGATGCTGCCCGACCCGTGCGAGCGCGGCCTCATGGACCGCGCGCGCCTCGCGCTGCCGGCGGCCCACTTCGTCGCCGAGTTCGAGAGCGGCGAGACGACCCAGCACTCGGTCCTCGACGACCACGGCCTGGAGATCGCGCTGTCCGCGACGCGGTACGCGGAGCTCGCGATCAACAACGGCCGCCGCGCCGACGCGCTCGCGGAGCTGCGCGGCGCCGAGGCCTACCTCGCGTCGACGACCTCCAACGGCTTCCAGGCGTCCGTGAACGTGCGCCTCAAGGCCGAGCACATGGTCAAGATGGCCAGGTTCGTCGCGAACGCGATCCCCGACTTCCCGCCGCTGAACGTGTCCCACGTGTCGCCGAAGCGCCTCCGGGACACGGTGGACTCGCTGCGCCAGGGGAACCAGGAGCTCGGCCACGTCCACGTCTGGTCCCACGCGACGCTCGTGGATTATCTTCTAGCGGCGGAGAAGGCCGTGCCCGACGACGCGCACTTCGTGGCTCTGG